ACGGGGCTGGGAGCTGATTTTAAAGGAGCGAGGGGATCTGGTGAAACGATATTCCTGCTAATAACTCCCTGTGCCGGTGTCTCCTCTAAACAAAACCAGGAGAAAAGTTGCTTTGTTTCTTTTTCCACTTAGATGCTCTCACCTCTTTGCCATGAAAGCTGCTCCCACTTCGCTTTGGTGGGGGCAACGCGTACTGGGGGTACTGCTCCTAATAACCCAGAAGGTTGAGGGGACTCAGCCAGCGCCTCGAGCCAGCTGCGGCTCTGTTCGAGCATCAGACAGGCCTTCAAGTATCATTTTTGGGGGGCAGCATCCCCTGCGCCCACGTGCCTGTCTTCCCCTTTCGCCATCCTCAGCCGAGACGCAGGGAATCTGGGTCAGACCGCTCATAAATTTGAACTCAGCCTCTGCGTGCCCGGAGGCGCGTACGCCGCGGCGCAGCGCGAGCAGCTCCAAAATGGCAACACAAAGTTCAGGAAACAAATTCCACTCTTCCCTAGATGGGAAGCTGAGAGGCGGCGGCTTATGCAAGCGCTGTTTGTGTCCCTCCTGCCTGCGGAGGGTGGCTGCAGGAGACGATGGTTCTTGAAAGTTGCTCCGCTGGGGTACGTAAAATAAAACTCGTGCGTAGAATTGCCAGCTGGGTTTCTTTCTAGGACTTTTGGTCTGGCTGCAGCCCACTCCCCACAGCAGGCAGACTTGATGTGAGCTGCTGGGAGTGCCTGGAAAGGAGCTCGCTGCAGGTGGGGGCTGAGAATTGGGTAAATAGCTGGAGATGGAGGACAGGGCTCTGTGATAACTGATGGAAACAGCGCTGCTGCTTTCGGCTCAGCTACCAGGAGATGGCTTTGTATGGAAAGGAATAGGTTGCTCGCTGGGCACACAGACTGAGCACAAAGCAGAACAGATGGGGCAGATACTGGCTGTAACGGACCAGCTGCTGCTGGAACACGAAGAGGCCTTGAACAAACCATTTTTGGGAACAGAAGTGAGGAGAAGGAACGTAATTGATTTGCTGCGGAGTAATTTGAAGACTTCCTGGAACAGATCGAAGAACGCCTGGCTACCGGAAAGCTCCCTTCCTCCTCTGCCATACAGCTGACCCTGCGGGGCCACCGGCACCACGGGCTGCTCCTTCCCACACCTTGCCCCCGAGCACGGCGCCTGCTTGACCCTGGCAGTCCTTTGAGGCCCTCCAAGGGATGCAGACCTTGAGTCACGCAGGCTGCAGTTACACCATCGCTTCTTACTCCCCGCGCCACTTAGCAGACGTCAGGAGCGCAGCAGCTGTCTTGCAGATGAAGAATTATTGAATATTTTGTTAACTGCTGCCTTCTGAAACCTCCGTCACTGCTCGGTTTTCCCTTTCATCCTGTAAGTTGATGTCAGAATTCTCATTCCGAGTGCTCCTCTGTGTGCCTGGCTCGCCCAGCCGCGTAACGCCCAGCGCATCGTGTCTTGGTGGATGCTCCCGAACACCTCCTGTGCACAGCCAACTCTTCTCTATGGATGAACATGGTGCAGAAAGCATCTGACTTCCTAAGCTGGGCAACACGCGGTTATTTTGTCAGTTTTCTTCTACCCTTGTGCAGAATTTGTGCAGCCTCCTCACCCTCCTGCCCTAGCTGTGAGCTGGGTGCTTTATGTGCCAGGGAGACGGATTCTCTGTTTGCTGCAAAACACAGCGTGGCTGTTATTAGTTGCATTGATTTTTTTTTTTTGTTCGTTTCTGCATTCCTTATTAAGTTAAATATAGACAAGGAAATGTCCTGCTGATAAGCCTGCGTAACCTCATTATTATTTATTTTTCCCCAGAAACTAGATTGCTTTCATGTCCCAGTCCTACGTGGGTCTGAAACGGAGACGTTGTCAATGCTGCTTCATGGCAACTGTTCATTACGGTGCCACTTTTTTCTTTTAATCAGGAACAAAAACTGCAGGATGTGAATCTAGCAGCGGCTTGGGATGGAATATTTGGGTGCCAGAGGACGATCTGGGTGGGATCAGCACTGACTCGGGTTTAGTAACTCCTGTTGGCTTCCCCAACGCGTTCCCGTGGCGCCTTGGAGGAGTTTGCTATGTTAATTGGCGTGCAATTGCTTAGGCTTAGAGGAACGATGATGGAATATCTCAGTGGAGCAAGACCAAGGTAATTTCTGGGCCATCAAAGTATTGCTTAGGAGCTTTCTCTGACTGCAAAGCAGTGATTATGGCAGTACGCGGCCACGTGCGGTCTGCTGCTGGCTGTGGACGCCCGCTCGGTTCGGATGGTGCAGGGGAGGGGATGCTAAATGTTACAGGGCTCCTCTGTAGGGCAGTTGGGTAATAGTTTCCATCGGAGTGGGAGGATGGGAGATGTCTTGCTGCTTGGACAGACCCTAAATTAAGCTGTCAGGAGGAAACGCTGCTAAAAGGCCCCTCCTGTGCTCGAAACCAAAATAGCAGGAACGTTTAATCTGTGTGAATGGTGTGAGCTGGGAGCTCGGTTCACTGACTGCCATCTATCGCTGATGAGCCTTTGGGGTGAGGTTAAAAAGAGAGGTTTTCCTAAATGCCACCTCCACGTTGTAAACCTGCCTGCCGTGAAGGACAGGAGCTGGAGTCCTCTCCTGGAGCCCGCTGTGTCCGTGCAGCCTCTGCGTGTCGTCTCCCCGGGTTGTTGTGTTCTGCAGCAAGTTCCTCACCTCGGCCTTGATCCTTGCATTTCCTAGTGGCATCATGAAGCAGCTTGCTGAAAATTTTGAATATTGGTTTCTTCTCTGTGCGAACTGAAACTTTCAGAAGAAAAGGCTGAAATGTTCCTGGCATCAAACTTTCTCTGAGATACTGATCTCAAAGCCACCGTTTCAATTGGAAGCACGAGGGGGTAAGATGGTGCGTCTCAAACAGCGTTAGCATGGAGCTCCTTCTGAAAGAGCAAGTTGAGCCTAAATCCTGTTCTGAGACTTCTGTTTGTGTAAAAAAAAAAAAAAAAATAATAAAAAAATACAGCTGGTCTTGATAGCAATAACCCCTTCAGCTGGGGCCCTGCACGAAGTGCTGAATCTCCAAACCTTTCACCTCCGGGTTTGCAGTAAGCGGTAACTCCTCGGTGCCGTTATCTGACCCACAGAACAGCAGCTGCTGCTTGGAGTCTGATCCGGCTTGAAGCTTGACCTTTGAAGGGAAGAAAGAAGAGGTTTTAACTGAATTAGTTCCCCTAGCATACTTGCATGTGGTTACGTAGACACCAGCATCAGTGTAAAACCATTGTCTGTAAAGAATGCCGAGCGTTGCCTTGCCCAGCTCGAGCCCGTAGGTATGTCAGCGGCCGTATGCTGCTGATGAAGAATTTCCCGTAGCCCAAGGAGTAGGAGCCTTTGTGTTGGAACAAGGGGGCTGTGTTCTGCCACCCCAGCATTAGGCAGTGACCCCAGAGAGCAGCGTAGTGGCTGCATGGGTCAGCCCTTCATTAGCAGCACACAAACGGCCTTTGTGTGTGTGGCTGCGCGGGCGCCGTTCTGCAGCCCCACCGCCTCTGGTCCCAACCTGGCTCCGTGGTCCCGTCCCATGTGTTGGGAACTGGCCATAAAATGATGAACCGCTTGAGCTGAGCTCCTCCTCATCCTTTTGTTTAGGTGAATTTGTTGTTGTTGGAGCTCTAAACCTTCCTTCCCAAACCTTCCTTCCTATCCTTGTCCCGTATTGATGAATGGGGCGCTCCTGCCTCACCTTGCTGGGCTCCTGAAGCAGAGGGCATCTTTCTCTTAGAGAGGTTCTCCACGCTGGTAGAGGTTCTCCACGCTGGTTGTGCACCTAAGGAGCATTGTTGTGGTTGGCATCATCTTGCTTTGTTCTTCCAAGCATAGACAAAAACTCAAGGAAGCGGAGGTCCTGTAGTAGGAGTTGTAAGTATGCGGCTTCAGATGCAAATGGACGGTTGGTCTCTGCCTTTCACAACCTGACGGTTTTTGCTGAAGGCTAAAATACAAGAATCGAGCTTTTTATTCCTCTGGTATGCCGGGAGCACTGCGTGTGCACAACTGGCCTGCGAGGAAGTTCAGAAATGTGCCTTGTGCCAGGCAGGAGCAGTGGGCTTCTCTTCTTTGTACGGCTTCAGATTTGCTTCAGCTTCTGTTGGGTCTTTGCTAAGAACTGCATAAGGATGAAATCTGAAAAAAATAATTAATTATGGGTGTATATAATTGTTTATGGGTGTATTCATTACGTCAACCTGAACGCCTTTGCTGCAGAGCAGTTGAATTGGGTTAGGTACATCTTCTGTATAGTGTGAGGAACTTGAATTGAAGCAGAGATATAAATTAGGGGAGGAAAAGGAAGATGGTGAGTCTTTCTCCTTCGTGTTCTCCTTTATGTTCTTTCTCCTTCGTGTTCATGATCGTGTTATAGCTTTCTGCATGATGTGGATGTCTATTCTCCACTACACTTTTTTCTCCGTAAACATCGTTAAAACTTCACCTTCCAGCACAAATCCCAGGGCTAGATTGGGTTTGGCGGCATTAGCAAGGTTTGCTGAGGACAGAACCGCCCAGCTGGACCCTATCTACGGGATCAGAAGCATCCCTGAAGTATACATCAGAGATTATGTAAAATCCTAATCTCCATAGGGGAGGCTGGGTGGAGTCCAGCCCAAGAACTAAATTCGCTTGCGTCACTTCTCTTCCTGCTGCTGGGGATATGTAATTAACTCGCAGATCTGGGGCAGGGCACCAATCAATATAAGATTGTGTTTGTGCTGGCCAGGTATTTTTTTTTTTTAAGGTTCTGATAAAACATCACGTGGTAGGTTTTACTGCCTGAGCATGACACGGTTCGGGTGATCTGGCTTGTTTGTTTGCCTCTGGAGTGTGGTGGGGGTTTGGAAACATCTGGGAATTGGTGCGCACTGAGGTGGCTGTGACTTTGTGTGTTAGGTATCATCAGCAAAACTGAGCACGCTTAAAAGGTCTCTTACTAAAACATGCTTGTTTCTTGTTCTTCTCCCCCAAATGGCTCTGTAGGTCGCAGAGGTGCTAAAACATGGCTGACTTGGATCACAATCTCAGTCTCGCGGACGCTCTGACCGAGCCACCGCCTGAGATAGAGGAAGAAGTGAAAAGGGACTTCATTGCCACTCTGGAAGCAGAGAAGTTTGATGATGTGGTCGGAGAAACAGTAAACAAAACAGACTATGTTCCTCTGCTGGATGATGACGATGCAAAAGCTGGAGGCAAAGCCCATGCAGACAGCAATCAGGTGGAACGTAAGTGTCTTGGTACAGAACAAAAAGCTGCACCGCGTGGCATCGCAGAACGCTTTTGCTTATTGTGTCACTGCTAGGCCCACTGAAGCAGGACTTCGATGCGTTGCTGGTTTTAGTCCGAACAGTTTATTTTAAGAGCAAGGAACTGAGATCAAATTTGTCTCTTCTTCTGCTCTGCCTTCTGTTCGGCTCTTCAGCAAGCAAAATAAGCGATCGCTCCTACTCGGCAGAAGATGCTCTTACTTAGATGAATGCTTTGTGGGCTGCCTGGGGCTTCTCGGAGAAAGCACTGCCCGAAGTGTGTGAGTGCTGCACTGTAGCTACGTTTACAGTCCTGTCCATCTCAAAAATGAGAATAGGGCAAGGTTTGGTAACTGCCACTCCAGATAACAGCAAGTCCAAGGCATAAAGATGGAAATGAAGGCATGTTTTGCCTTCTTTATGAAGGCATAAAGCTCTTGTTGCTGCTGTGGTCTACAGGTTGGCATCTTCACGAGGCCCCTGCTGCTGGGAGCTTCAGCCTCGAGTGCTTAACAGCTACAGCTGCTTCTGCCCAGCTGATCCGAGGGGCTGCTTGTTTTGATTCCTTGCTGCCACGTACATGCTGCTCCTGTATATACAGGGAAATGTGGTGGTGTATCTGCTGGTTCTCAACACTTACTGGCCCAGTTGCTATTTCCTGGTGTTAGTAACCTTATCAGAAACTACTTAGGAAAAGGAGAGGTTTAAACAGATACTTCCCTGGCTGGATAAAAAGAACAGTGAGACGTAAGGGGTCCTCCACTGTTTATTTCTCAGCAATTTTTCTCCCTCCCCCTGAAATTAGTCACCTTTGACGTGTAGTGCTTTGACTTCCATTTATTTTTCCCTTGATCTCTGCCATGTTAAAAAAAAAACAAAAAAAGAAAGAAAAAAAAGATTGCTCCTAAAGAGGTAACCTGGTGATTTCTTTCAGAAGAATTTTTTTTGCCTTAATCTTCCTGCTCACTAATGCTGCTGAAGGTGGGATGTACAGAGAACTGTAATGATCACCCGTCAGAATAAATAAGACCTCCAGGAGTATGGAGTGGGGATTTACACAAAGGGAATTTCTGTTCTGTTTTAAGGCACTTATTTGCATTGTTTAGAAGTGAGTCAGGTGCCCCGTAGTACAGAAAAATATAATTTAGAATTTTCCTGTGCTAGCATAGTTCATTAAACGGTAACAAACAATTAGGAAGGAAGGAAGTGGGCAGAGATTGTAAAACTTGGAGCTTTGGTCTATTCAGATGCGTGTTATCGTACTCAATTATAGGAACTCTAATGACAGCTATTTTGTAGCTCAGCGTTGCAGAAACACGAAGACTTGTTAACATTTTTGCATGGGGTTTAAGGATATTTTAAAACAATTCCTTATTCTTTAAGTTGCAGATTCTAGGCTATCTCAGCACCAGAATTTTCCAGTTGCTGTTAAAATCATTGTATTACCAGCTTCAGATTTTAGGTCCCCCCAGATGTGCATCCCTTGACCAGTACCATCGGGACTCGGCGTTTCAAATAATTTCAGACTCAAGGAGCAGGTGTAACGAGGCCTTTTGGGCTTGCTCAGTAATTAAAACTTGCTGAGCTGCCCTGGGAGAAGACTGCCAGGTCCTGGGCAGAATGGAGGCAAAGATTTGAGAGCAGGACTTGTTTCTCCTTGCTTGGCAGGGGGGGGCTGCAGTTCCTGCATCTGTGTTCCCGGTCTAGGGATCGGTTTCTCCCTTTTTTGGGATAGCTGGAGAACAATTCTGAGCATTATCTAAATCTCTGGCAAGATCAAAACAAGACCGTAACTAACAGAACTGGAGAGCTTGCTTGCTTGGAGGGGATGAGATAAGGTTTTTCAGCGTTGCCACCTCGTACGGGGCGGTTGGGGTTTGCCAGGCTCCACAGTTCATAATGGTGTCAGTTTACTGCAGGTGAGTCTTAGCATCTGATCCTGTTACGTCTCAATTTGTCTCATCTGGTTTTCCCCAAAGCGCTAAGGATCCCTGTTTCTTTGGAGAGATTTCTGCCACGTTTATAAATGCTTTTTGTAAAAAAAACCACAAAACATAAAGTTCGATGTCCTGGTTCTTACTGGGGCTATAAAACAGGTGAGCCCCAGGTGTGGGGTGAGGCTTTGCAGAGGGGAAGCCGCCCTCTGCTGCAGCTCCTGGGGGCGTTGGGCACGAGGCTTCTGCCTCCGGGCTGCACAGCGCCCTGCTGTCCTCGGGGAGAGGAGCGCAGCAGGTCGTGGATCGGGCTCTGCAGCCCCTGCCTGTTAGTTTATTTATGCTGAAAGGCACAAATGTGGTCCGACAGCACGGCCTCGGTACTGACGTTGCCTCTCCCCAGTCAGAAGAGGTTTCAGTCACGCGTCCTGGCGGGCTCCAGCTCTTCCATCGCTGCTCCAGGATTTTTTTTTTTCCACTCTTTTCTGAACTCAGGAGCCAGATCAGGCAAGTCCAGTGGTCAGATGGACCCCAGCTTAGACCAGTAAACTCCAAGTGCAGAGAGGTAAAGAAGAAAAAGTGATGAGCAGTTGTCAGCTAAATGTGTCCTAGGTGAAGCTTTAATGATAATTAATTTCTCAAGTATCATTGGAAAGGGTTTTATTCCTTCTGGCACCTGGCTGGGCATCATAACTTGGTGAATTCTGGGGTAATCCTCTTAGGGCACCGTGGTCTTTACGTAATGCTGAAGGATTGCTATGGGTGCATGCGGGGCTTTGTGCTGTTTGCAGCAAGCTTCCCTCACCAGTTCCAAGTCCCAGGTTTTGTCCCCAGGAATTTAGGGGATGCTTTGGAGCTTCCCACCGAAGTCCCGGAGCAGTTTCCAGATGGACACGAGGGCAGCTCTCCGCTGGGTTTACCTAAAGTAAGGGATTTGCATCTTTGGGTGGGAGTGAATGCCTAGCTGAGAGGCAAAAGCAACACTGTAAGAGCTTTCATAGGGCAGCAGCAGCTCCTGTGGGATGAATTTCGGGTGAGGACCCACACCGTGTTTCTGCACGGCTGCATCGTGTAGTTCAGGACAAAGCTGAGTCCGTGCCGTAGCTGCTCGTGGCCTCGAGCACGTCGATGCAGACATGCACATCCTGTGCTCACCCAGCTCCCTAATTCAGAGGTGATTTTTAGAGGAAAGCAAATCCTGGGCAGGGTGCGAATGCTGGAGGAAGGCCTCTGGATTAGCCATGGGCGGTCACGTTGGGGCTTCTCACCACGAGATGGCTCTGCTGGCGCTGCGCGGTGCTGCCGGCTGGACCCTGCTGAGCAGCAGGACTGAGCCGAGCTGAGCAGGGCTGAGCTGAGCTGAGCATCCTCCTGGTGCAGGAACAAATCACATCCCCAGAGCCTGGAAGCTGGAGCCAAACCGCAGCGCTCCCCTCCTGTCGTTTCCCTTTCCGCAGGAGGAGTGAGCTTCTCTCGCAGGGGACTGCAGGCCTTGCTTTTGCAAGCGTGAATCATTGTACAAAATTGTACAAAAGCAAGCACTGAGCATGGGCTGAGCTCTTTAATCTGCCCGTGCCCCCTTGCAGAGGGTTTCCGTCGGGCACTTTGTACCCAAAGTGTGCAGGCAGTCCCGAAAAGCCAGGCACTGCCCTTCTGCGTGCTCCTGAGCAAAGCCGCCCGCGCCCTGGGTTGGTCCCTTCCCACTGCTCGAGGAGCCGGGAGCCTTGGGCATCATCTTGATAAGCTGAAGTGTTCTTGACATGTTTTCAATGCTCTCTGAAATAAAGTGCTGGAATTGATCTGGCTGAGTTAGCTGACAAAGCAGGATGATTGGATTTTTTTTAGGGCAGTCGTTTTGCACAGACTGTAGGATCTCCGGGGTAATTGAGTTCAGCTAGCCAGCCCTGCTTGCCACCTGGGATTGAACACCATCGAAGGCAGTGGTCCTCCAGCTGGTGAGACTTTCCCAGCTTCCTACTGCAGGAGGAAAGGAGAGGGGAGGAGAAGGGGCAGGACAGAGCAGGATTTGTGTTCCTGCCCTGCTGCCTGTGGATGCCTGACCCGCCGGCACAGCCCTGCGTCTGCCAACGCGCCCAGCAGCCCGAGTGTGCTTCTCAACGCCCTGGCGTCCCAGAAACACAGAACCTAGCGAGCCCTGGCTGCCTTTAAAGTCAAATTGTCTTTAATTCTGATGGTTAGAAGGGGAAGCTTGGAAATGTGATCCGAGTGCTTACATCCTACGGGAATGCCGTCAGGCAAGCTGAGCTGTGAGCCGCCTTACGACTGCGGGAGATGAGCTTGACGCCTGTTCTGAAGCTGTTTGGAGGCAGAATATTTAAATGTCTGAACTGAAACAGCCTAAGCTACTTATTTCAGAGTTTCCAGCTAGTTTTGACTGCGTGGTGTGCAGTTTATCAGCAGGTTTGTTCCCACCCAAGTCTTTTATCCGAGCTCTCTGACAAGCTGCATCCAACCACGTCTGCACACCCAAAGGAGCAGCAAGCTGCTGAACCGTGGAGCCGAAGGGGCTGTGTCCGCAGCCTGGCTGCTGTCTCTGGTGTCCTTCGGGCCTCCAAAATCCCCTGGGTGCTCCAGCACGGCTGGTGGGAACGCGTGGAGCTGTGGTTACGCTGCCGTGCGCGCCGTGCCCAGCCACCCCCGGGGATTAGGGGTTGTATCGGCGCTGCCCGCTCGCTTCAGATTATGGGGTTTAGCAAATGCTGCCTGAAATTTGTTTATATAAAAACAATCCTTTGATCCACCGGCCAGATGCAAATACCATCTTGTGATTCTGATGAGGATTATGTAGTTACAACATCTTGACAGGGTTTTTGGTTTTAAGCAATTTAGAATATGGAGGGGAGGAGCCCCGGCCCGCAGGCTGCCCGGGTGCTCTCACACTTGCGCTCGGTTACCTAAAGTGAATCTGATTGCTCCAGAGGAGCTGACCTTCAGAGGCATAAAAATCCAAACCTTCCACTGCTGGGAGTTGTTTTCATGGCAGCGCGTGTTTGATTTGACCTGATTTGCTGGAAGCTCGTCTCCCAAGGAAGCCAAACGTTAAAGGAAAGCGCTTCACCTGCTCATCAGTCCTGCCAAGGCAGCGCGGAGGCACGTTGCACACGTGTGCTGGGCTCACCTTCAGGAGAGGGCCTCTCCAAACCAAAACACTCAACTGGCCACATTAAAATGAGACTTTAAGCTCAACTTTAGGTTGCCAAAGGAGCAGATGAATCGAACACCATGTCTTGAGTAGCATTTGGGTGGCTTTCTGGTTTCATTTTACATTTGCAGAGGCCTCGGTAGGGGAGGGTGTCGTTGTCCTGGCTTTGATAACAGACAGCTGGCTTGGATCTCTTGCTACCTAGGAGATCAGTCAAAATGAAAGTTTTCTTCAGATGAAGTGTTTGAATAACTGAAGTGCATCAACCTGCCATGAGCACCACTGGGTGGAGGCTGTCCCCAGCTGCACACAAGCTGGTCACCCGCGCTACCAGCCCAGGCTACAAATGACCACTTTTACAACCTGAAGCTGGTATTAAAAGTATGCAAACAGTCTGAATATGCAGTATTTAGTCATATTCACAATCATCCAGAGTCCTGGTTTTAAGGCACCAGGAGCAGAGACCTCCCAGTGGCCGGTCGGCTGAGCGAGGCGTCACGTTCACGTTGGGATGGCACCAAGCAGTGTGATGGTGCCCAGCCTAAACCAGAACTTGTGCTCACGTTTCCACTTGCAGATTAAGCTCCTGAAGTGTCCGTGGGTGGCAGAAACGGGGCTGCTGCTCATTTCCCCACCACAAAAAGCCTCTTAGGACGCTTACCATGACTCGAGCCTACAAAGCCGTGGTTGTAACAGCACTGCCAGCGCCTTCATTAAACCAGTGTTATGGCACCCACACGAGTGGGGCTCGAGAAAGCTCACAGCTCCTGCACTTGGGCTGAGCACTGGCTTCTGTGTAATGCCTTGGAGATCCCCTGTAAGACCCCGCTGTTCCCCAGGACACCCGGCCTTCCACTTGGCGAAGCCGAGGTGCGAGCCGCCCCGTGCCCCCGCTCTCTCCTTGCGTGATGTGATGAGCACCCCCAGGGACTGGCAGCAGGTTTCCCAGTTACTGGCTCAGCCTGCTCTGCTGTTACAGTAAGTACCAGACCTTGTGAAGACTGACAGCAGGAGGAGCTGGTGTGTTTAACTGCTAAGAAACAGGTCCAGGGATTCCTGTAGTATTTTCAGCTACTTGAAAAGGATGTAGGTGTATGTTTTTCTATAAGCTGTCTGGCAAGTTCATGTTGGATTTCTGTAAAACACCAGCATGAGCCGCTGAACTAACTGGAAAGACTTCCCTTTTGCTTCCCCACGAGTTGGATGAAGCCCTGAAGTGCTGTGCCTGACGTCCACTGGTAACGTAGCTTTGTTTTAAAATGGCCTGGGCTCAGGGAAGGGACGGCAGCATCTCCAGCTGCCTTTTGGGGAGTGATTTGATTTGAGTGGCTTTTAGGTTTCTGTAGCCATTACACTGAGCACTGGCTCACAGAAAGCAGAACAAATGTCCTGAGGAGCTGGACTGCTCTTAGGGCTTGTGCCACTCGTTAAGCTTAACTAGCACTCTACGGTGTCGTTCATGGAGTGATTCCTCCCACTTCTCCAGTTCTGAAACAGCCTAAGTTCACAGAGATTAAGATGAGTTTATTGAAGAAATTAGAAAACATTTTAAGATTTGGTGCTTCTTGCAAGAACGATGCCTTTCATTTATGTAAACGGCCTTGTGATGTTCACCTGTCCTGGGGGTGCAGAGACCCCGTGCTGCTGGCAGCCTGCTCTAGTACTAATGCTGGCCTAATCCAGCTGCTTCTGTAAGGACCACAGTCTGATCTCACTCGCTAAAAATAGACCAAATCCTCAAGCAGTTTGCCAAATTGGTCAGGGTGATTGACTCCCAGCAGCCCAGCGTAAAGGTTAGGGGAGAAGATAGAATTTCACCAGCGTATTTCGATGAACAGGAAAAGCTGTTTGCTTACCAGAACAAGAAGTGTGCTTCTTAAAAACATCGTGTTACTGTATGTTAATTAAATCCTGCCCAGTGAGCAGATGGCAAAGTCCAGGCTAGAGCCCAGTTCTTTGATTCTGAGGTGCCTCAACTCCCACCAGGTCTCGTGTTGCTGCCACGCCGTCCAAGCTCAGTGCGTGAATCCCAGCTCTTCTTGATTTTTTTCTGTGTTGGAACAAGATTTGGAACTGAGAATATCCTTGAATGTATTCAGCAAATCTCCCGGTGGTTGCTGTCTTACAAGCTTTTGTATTTGGTTGTCTTCCACCCCAGCCTACCCCTCTGTAAGCCTCTCCCTGATGTTTGCTTTAGCGATGTGCTGTCAGAGCTGAGATGAAGATCTTCAGTCCCCACCAAAAGGTGCTAGAGGGTGAGGCTGATGGCTCTGTAGCTCCTGGGTCCTTTTTCTTGCTGTTTCTGAAGATGGGAGTGATGTTTGCTTTCTTCCAGCCTTCAGGAAACTCTTCCAGTCACCATGAACCTCTCAAAGATACCCAGGAGTGGCCTCACAGTGATGTTGCCCAGCTTCCGCAGCACTCATGGGTGCAGCACATCAGGCCCCAGGACTTGTAGAGGGCACTTGAATGACCAGAGGCACCGCTCACCTCTGTGTATGCTCCATTTGGAGCAAAGTTGCTTCAGGAAGTCAGACATAAGCATCTTTAGAGTAAATCTTGTGCGGAAGATTACAAGTTTTTGACTGAAAGCAGCCTTTTCTTTGCAATGAGTATTTCTATGCAGTGTAGCAAGAAGGACCCCTATCTTTAGAATAGGATTAAAAATCCCAGAACACCCCTTAAAGGAAACCTGGAGTCCCAGTGGTCCAGTGCTGGCCCTTAGGAAGGTTTTATTCGGGGTGATGGTACAAATAGCCAACTGTGCCTTGGGTGTCCATCATGGGACCAGGTGCTCTGTGCCAGCTCTTCTTTTGGGGTTCGAGGTGCGCAGGCTCAGCGCCACGTGGGTGCCTTCATTTCAGAAACAAATCTGGGGAAAAATCCTTTGTGTTTGATAACACCAGTGCTGCCTTGTTTTTTGGATTAAGATTGATTTCATCCAACACCAACGTTGCCTATCATTTGTTGCAGATACTTCGGCTTCTGGGCCAACGGTTCTAGAAAATGGTGACCATGGAATAGAAGATCACCGCCCAGGTAAGTGCTTGATGTCTGAATGAATCACATCATTGTCTGTATCTGTCCTTGGAACAGCTGTAACCTCGTTTTGACCAAATGCAGTCGTCTTTAACTAGTACTTCTCCACAGAGGGCTTTTTAAATTACCTATTTTGTTTCAAATTCTTCATAAATCTCCCATTTTCTTTTGGGTTTGAAATTGCTTATATGCATAAAGCACTTCGAGGGCACTGTGGGTGTTATCCATGGCCAATGTTGGGAAGGTAACATCTAGGGCACGGATACCTTAATGGCTTTCCAGGGAATCCGTAACATTCATACCTGAGCTCTACCCTGACCCTTGTGACTTCTGCTCCCAGTGAGGCGGACGGTGAGGTTTCTTCTGAGTACGTCATCCCTTGATGCATTTTTTTCATAGGTGCCCGTGAAATTACGCTGCTCTGATCATTCTGCAGCTTCTCTTGTGCTTTTCCAGCTCCTTCCACCCTAAATAACTGCCCTTCTCTAAGTTGCTCACAATAATTGCTGTAGCAGTGTGCTGCCAAAGCCGAAACCGAGGTCTTTGGAACAGCACGAGGCCACCTCATTCTGCAAGAAACTGGTTATGAATTAAGTGGACCAATATTTCAGACTTGCAAGGAATCTGGAAAGTAACTGATCTTGCTATCAGCATAGCATATGCTGGAGTTAGCTGTCTTTAACAGTTATATTTAGTGACAAATGCCATTTCCCTCCTATGAGACGTTCTCGCTGTGACTCAGCTTTCCCATCAAATTCCAGCCGAACTCTTCAGGTGTGAGCAGTGCTGAACTCCGAGTCTGTGTGTATGAGCCACTGGAAACTTGGTTATTTCTTGATGGGGAGGGTGTGGGCTTTGACAGGCCGGAGATAGAGCTGACTGTCATCCTGGCATCGGCAGGAGCTGTTCTCTTGGTGTCCCTTTCAATGATCTCCAGCTCAGCTTTAGCAGGCCAGGTCATCGCCAAGGCGTGCGATGTTCCCAGCACCCGCAGCCTTGCTAGTCCGTAGGTGCAGCCCCGAGACAAAAATAATCCAGATCATGGTGAACTTAACAGGAGTGGGAGAGACAAGGATGAATGAAAAATGCCCTTTTTTCACTTCTCGTTAGTGCGTTCTTATCGAGGATGGGAGGTTAAAACGCGATCTGTGTGCTTAATTTGCCATCGTAAATCTGGTCAAAAGGAAGAGGTGCATCTTTTGTAATTTAGTGTAGAACTGAAATTAAGGACACTTCTGAACCTCCCTAAGGATACTTCCTCTCTATTTGGTACATAATAAAATCAGACTTACAACACATCAGGTAGGACTATTTAAATGCATTGGTATTTTTTTATTGAACTTCTGAATTTGTGTTTTAAAATGGCTGATAGTTTTTAACGCTAGCTTTCTGGAGGTTTAACTCTTCATGTGCGAGGATGCTAACAATTTTGATCAAAGATTCTTTTATGTGTCTGCAGCCTTTTAATTTATTCATATGTTCCATCTTTGTGGGGTGGGGTTTAATTTTTTTTCACGTTGAAGACTGTCTAAAAGTGACATCAAAGTGGTAGAAACAGCGTGTCAGAAGGGAAACAGTCACAGGCATCAAGTTAATGAGGTTTTTCGGAATAACACAAGATCTACACAATTACTTCATGGTTTCTTTCCCCCTACCCTCTTCCATATAGAATAATTAAAAAATCAGTGCTTATACATTTGAGAGTAAGTGATAAATGCTAATTTTAAGCAGATAATAGAGGTTTTTTTCAGAGAGTTGAAGAGTTGACGCTCTGCAGAAATAGAGGGAAGTTGTTCCAGGGCAGGGGACAGACGTCAGTAGGGCCTGCTTCTGCGTTGGGGAGGTGGTGCTGCCTACATCCTTTTGTCCCTGGCCGTAAGCCACCTTCAGTTTTTTGGCTGGCTTGTTTGTTTTCAACTGGATCTCCTTCCTGATTTGTCTTTTTGAAGCTGAAGTGATTCTCGTGGATTGTGCAGCGTGGGCCTGGTGCAGAGGTAGGAAAGGAGTAGCAGAGAGAGGGGTAAGGATGATGCTCCCCAAACCCAGCTTTCTGCAGGAAAAAGCTGTCCTAAGAGCTACAGAGAGCTTTTAACAGCAGAGCTGTGTTTGGGTTGGATTCTGAGACGCCTTAGGTAAAGGGGAAAGCTGTAGTCAGGCTCTTTGAAAATCCAAATATCCGCTTACCGCTCCGGGCTAGGTCTCCCAGGAAGCATCGCTACACTTTTTTTCACCTATCAAATAAAACAAGGTGTTGACTTGTTAATGTTTTATTGCATGCAACATAATCTACAGACATCTGGTGTATGTGCATGCAGAGGCTAGAATTGGGGCTGAAATCTTAGTGCTGCCTTGGCAGCCCGCGCTGCCTCCTGACCGGTTGCCCCGCGCAAAGTCCTACTAATGTAGAAGGTGGCGTAAATCCAGAACGACTGTAACACGGGGGCAAAACCCAGGTTAACCTCTGAATTATTACAGCATGATGTATTCACACGGCAGCTGGAGGGATGCGTGGAGCTCGCTGTTGCAGAATATAAAGCAGAGGTAGGGAAGCTGCCTTCACGTTGCCTGTGCGTGAGGGCCCCGAGCAGCCTTCGTGTCGTGCTGCAGAGCTGGAGCCCGGCTCCTGGCAGGGCTGAGCCCGGTGGGGCACCGGTTTCTTTGGGTTGGGTGGGTGGCTTCTTTGTTTTGCTTTGCTGAGAATTGCAGAGCTGCAGACCAGGAGCTCGGGCTCGGGCCCTCAGCCTGCCCACAAAGCCTCTATCGGGTTTTTCTTCCTTATAAGGACAAATAGGAGAGCAGGACTTTGGGGCCAGGCCCGGGACGGCTGTGGGGAATCACTGGTGGGCACTGGTTTGGGGAGCAGCTGGTGGTTGCTGGCAGCACACAGGTAGTGGGGTCGGGATGGCTGTTAACCTTCACCATGCAAAACAAAACCTACAAAGTGCCTGGTCAAGCTACAGCAGGTCGAAAGCAAAACACACAGAAGTAACTTTTGAACAGTGCAATGTTTGCAACTCCTTACTGCAGGATATTTGCCCAGAGTTCAAAGGAATTGTATATATTTTTTTAAAAAAAGACAAATTTATCAAAGAAATCCGTCAAGGACAATCAAACGGATTAACGTGATAGCTCTCGTTCTTGTTGGAAGAGAAGTTACCTGGGGAAGTATCGCTCTCGGGTCCATACTTCCCCTAGATGGACTTTCTCTCCAAGCCAGCCTGCTTGTCTTTCCTCTGAGATCAGGTCACAAAAATAGTTTGTAACCGTTTTCAGTGCAAATTGTGCTCACAAGCAGCATCCTGCGCTGCTGCTCTCTTGGTAGCAATTTGTCACTAATCTCGATTTATCACAGCTAATTTCTGCATGTGGCACAGCGTCATGCCGTAGCATGGCTGGTGATGTATTTTCGGACACTTGTAAGAGCAAAATATCACGTGTCTCTAATCTGGCTTTTGGCAAATCTCCTGGCTGCACTAGATGAAATATTGCTTGTTGTGCAGTGTGCTACCTGAATGTTCATGTTTACTAATGACTTGCGCTTTTTTGCCCCTTTCCCCATCCCTTTTCCCTCTCCTACTTCTTTTCCTCTCTTCTATTTTCTCCTCCTAGAAGCCTAGACTGTCTCCTAACACTGGGGCTGCCACTGTTACAAGACCAATGTACTTTTCTACCTGCCATTACACTTCTAAAATCTTCAGCATTTTACAGAGCTCTTGCTTTACATCCTTGGACTTTACGTGTAGAAGAAACCAAAGGGTAGCTGTGCTGTCGGCCGATCAGCCCTTCTCCTCCTCCCTCTGCTCTGCAGTGCTTGTTGAAACCTTCCTTTCTTTGTGTAAGCACAAACGTGCATGATGGTTTTTAACTGCACTATGTCAGCACTCCCACTGTATCCAAATCACAACTCCGGCTCCATTTTCAGTTCAACCACCTTTAAATTTAATTTAAATCCTTTTTTTTTCATGGATGCTTAATGACAGAAGGTTTGGTGTTAAAGTTGTGCTTTCATGCGGATGGGTGCACCATGACTGCAGCTCCTCTCCCTTCTCCCCCTGCTCACCACAGCCTAGAATAACGCTACTTGCCTTTACCCCTGCTGCTTTGAAACCTTCTCATGTGAGGTTTTTATCTTTAACAACACTGACATTGTCAAAATGAGTGTTTCCACTTCATAACATTCATTATGAAGACTTGAAAAATAGATTAGGAATAACCTTGCTTACTGAGGTACAGGAGGTTCCTCTTTGGTTTGTGAGGGGTTGGTTGAAGGATTGCCATCAACTGGGAGAATAAAAGAGAATGACCAGCCCCAGCTTCTTGCCTCTGTAGGCTTGCTTTGTTATCGTACTGCCTCTCACAACCCTTGGAGGTAAGCCTTTCCTTAATTGTGTGCTTTTAGCTCCATTTTGGTATGACAGCATACCTGGATGAAATTATACCTGCCATGGAAAAAAGTCTGTCAAAAAATCTGCCCCTTCCAACTCCGAGAGAAACAAAAGACCCGTGAACAGGTTGCCAAATCTAGCCTGGAATAGTTAAAGCAGTTTCGAGCAACACCAAGAGGAGCGTGCCCATTTGAACCTGAAGCAGAACTGCAGGAGGTCAGCCAGCCCCTTGCAATTCCAAAAGCGTAGTTACTACTTGGTTACTACCATTACCAGATAAAGCTCAGGAGAAGGGAATAACTGAGAGACTACTAGGACGCTAGTATTTTAAATTCTAGTATTTTAAATGAGGCAAGCTCAGGCTTTTTGGTAGACCAGTAGATGTTTTCTTTGAGGACAGTAGAGTTGTGCAGGTGAAATTCTCAGGTACTGAAGGCGAGTCAAGTACAGGATTTATTTGAATCAAAATCCAGAGGCAGAACACGATTCTCCAAATTGCCGAAAGCTCTTATGCTGAGCATTTGGCCTAAAAAAAAAAGAATTTTTCTCTCTGTGAAGAGAGTGGCCTGCACGTGAATGTTCCCAGTGCCCTGCTAGCACCTGACCGCGTTGTGGTGCTGGCCTGCTAATGATTTCCTGTGAGAATATTGCACTGGGAATGAGTGCTGCAGTTACACCACCTCAAGGTTCTCTCTGAAGCTGTCTCAGAGAGTGACCCAGCCAATCTTGATGACTTTTTGAGCCCTCACACGCTCCCCCCAGGGCGATAGTGCCTGGAGTTGTGGCAGTGAGTGGCCCGTAATCATGGGTGGCAGGGCCCGAGGCTTCTGTTCTCTGAGTCGGTGGGAACGTAACTGCTTTGCCCACCATCCCAAGCCTCCTTAGCAGCTGGTAGCCTCGTGGTGCCAGTTTGCTGGGCTGAGACAGCAGCACTGGGATGATACCTGTGTGCCTACAAACCAGGCTCCTCTCCTGACAGCCACCACGTTGGTGACGTGAGGCCTGCAGCCGCTGGGCCCAGCCCGTGACTGAGGTACAAAAATGGCCGCTGCCCGTGGAGTAGGGCCGGAGAGGTGACTGGGATCCAAGCCACAGTGGCAAAAAGGGCCATGAGGGTGTCCCCTGCCTTTCTGGTGGTACTGGAGATGAGCTGTGTGGCAGCACGAGGCCGGCAGCCTCCACCTCTGGGGCCAGAGCCCCCCCGGTGCGATGAAGCAAGGAGGGGTGCTTGGCCCTTTCCTCTGGGCATGAAGTGCTTTCCTCCTCCTGGTTTTGTTTCCCATAAAGAGAGACGTATTTTAAAGACCTCCTGTAACTGCCTTTTAGCATGGCTGACTCTGGAGCAAGGCAGCATTGCAGGCATTTTAGCTTTGGTGCCACAAATCGAGCTTTCTCACCTTTTGCCTTAAGTGGGTTTAGCCGCCGGTGCCCCAGAAACAGAAAGTAAATAATAAATCAGAGGAATTTTCAGACTGAGTAACAGCTTGCAGAGCCTCTTCCCCCGCAGTGCTTCACTGCAGCGGAGCACAGCGATGTTTTAAGGCCCTGCTTCGGGGGAGCTGCTGGCCAGCGGTGCCGGGAGGGCTCAGCACAGCGGGGTCGGGCTTGCGACCAGCCCTGAACCACCCCAGCATCGCCTCGAGCAGTGCAAGGGCTGCTAATGAGAGCAGGGCACCCAGGGTTCAGCCTCTGTCAGCTGCTCACGCTAGCACGAATCACTCATTCCATCGCACTGCCACTTCCCCCCCATGTCTTTATCCTCCTTTAAATGTCATTAGGTTTGCATTGAGTATAAAGTGCAGGCAGAGGAAGAGCTGCTGGGTTCTGTGTCTCTGTGCCCACCTTCCTTACCACGAGCCCTGTGATGTGACAGGGGTGTTTTTTGGGGCAGAAGGGTGGTGGGGCTGTGCTGGGGCTGCATGCTGCGAGGGGAGGCGGGGATGCTGGGGGGGTCGGCGCGGCGTGTCGCGTCTCCGCTCACCCCCAGAAAATGTACACGCACCTCCCTGAAAACCTAGGGCAGAAAATTGATATGCTAGAGAGTGTCTTTATTTTTGTATCTTTTTTTTTTCCGGAAAGCTGGGTAGCTACCAAATGTATTCCTCTGTTTAAATTTCATGTTATTTTGTCCAGTTTTGGGAGGCAATGCAGTGTTTTCAGAACATCCTATACCTCCTCTGTGCTAATAAGCCTGTCTGCTGTCACTGCTGGTTTTTCTCAGATTCCGATGCCTTGTATGATGTGAAGCTGTGTATCGCTGTTGAATAAAACACCGTAATAAACACCTCAAACTAACCTCTCACGAGTGGTGCTGTGCTGAGAATCTTGTTGGGTTGTGCTGCACGTATAAACTAGCAAATAAATAACATTTACTGCTCGGGGCTCTGCGGTGGATGCACATCTGGTGGCTTAAGGTACCTGATTTTGCGAGGATTCACACAAAAATGACGTGGCTGGGAATGGTAATCTACGTTTAACAACCTTTTGGAGTATTCCGATGACTACAGTGGGAGCATTTAACTGCCTCCCTAGCAGTCTTTGCTGCCTCATTAGTTTAACTAACCCCCCTCTCACTGATGACTAAGTTGCTTTTAGAGGAAGTTCTTATTAAAATTATATAGATATTCCTTGCCTTTAGCATCTTGAAAACAGGACACTTAAAAATGCGCTTTTCTTATTAAAGCTCTTTCTCCTCTTTCACCTGTCTGCTTATTTCATGGGTGGTAGGAGGTTTTATTTATAAAGGCTCTTCAGACTTCCCGGACTTCGGGGAGAGCTCTTCAGGCTTTTCAGAATGGGTCTGGATCCAGCCCTATTTGCTGAAGGAGTTATTTTGTGTTGCTTCCGTCTAAAGAAAGCATGAAGCTGAATAATTCACAAGGCTCATTTAGTTCTTCAGACTGGCATGACTAAGAGTTTTTGTGTGCGTCTGCTTGATCTTTTGGGGGTGCTTATTTTTAGGACTGAGGAGGAGGAGGGTGAAGGTGGGCGTCTACGGAGCCGGTCGGCAGCCCCGGGGGGCACAGGCGGGGGCTGTTCCTGCTCTGTTCCGTGCTCTGGCTCCTGTCCATGCTGATCCTGTTGCCCTTGCTTCTGAGGGTAAGTGTGGAAAAGGAAAACTTCTGCTCTGCAGTGCAGGGCTCCAGAGGAGCTGGTGCCTGCTCACCTGAGGAGCCCTTGCAGCTTTCTTCACCTGGCAGAGGAGTTCAGAGCAGCGCTCGGTGTAATCTCGGCTCATGAGCAGGCTCTGGGTGCTCCACATGCAGTGGCAGAGGACTTGGAGACCAGCTTGGATGTGCAGCTCACCCAAACGGCTCTCCTGTGTTGTCTGCCAGCCCCCTAGTTTAAGGTACCTGACTGATACCAACTCAGAAGCTGTTTTGGGAGCTCTTTAAGCACACACAATGTTTGGTGGCAGCGTAGCTTTAAAATATTACAGCAATTTTCGACATCCCTCCTTCTGTTAAGATGTTGGGTAGTTTGGTGAATTTCAGGATACCGTTCAGCTCAGGATACCGTTTTCGTGTGCACCTTGAAAGAGCCGCATGAATTTTTAATGAATTTTTCGATACCATGGGAATAGCTCCTTCGAAAACCCCTGACTTTGGAAGATGACGCAGGGAAAATGTATTCCTCCGTGTCGAGGAGGAGCCAGCTGCTACTCACACAACCTCTTTTTGCAGCTGAAAGTTCAGAGTGAGGAAGCTTAAATGTGGCAGTGCACCTCGGAGGTTTTTGGGGTTTAGCTGTCTGTTTCGTGAAGATATGTCCACTCGTGACCACTGCCTTACTGCCACAAGGCAGGACAGTCCTTGGTGAGTAAGGACCAGGGAACATTTTTGCCATAATCATCTGATCTTAATTTTTTCATCACCTGGATTTCATCATCTGAATGTTGCAAATCTTGCGTTTTTACAGGGGCTTCCTACCAGAAATGCTCGACTTAAAAAGCAAAGCACTTATTTCTATTTTAAATTCAATCAACTTCAGACTAGCAATAGTTTGAGAGATTTACTTCCAGCTGTAAGATCAGCTCTCCTCGTACTTCTGTAAGGGATATCTGCACGTCAGATGGACGTGGGCATCTCTTTGGCAGTGAGCAGCCGTAGGTCACCTTGTTCACCGTACCTGCGTTAGCTGTTGGTGGATCATCTTGATTACAGAATAATTTCTGAATCCGAGGGCTCAGAAGTGCAGCGTGAGGCACAGCTGTGTGGATACATAATCATGACAAAAAAACAGCTGCTTCTGAGGCCACACGAGGGTTTTCTTTTGCAGATTCTGGATGCGCAACGTGCTTGTCGGTCTGCTGTGCTGACGTTTTCTCTGACCATCCAAGCAGAGGAGGCTCACCTGTATCACACTACACACACATACAGGCTTTGAAATCCTTCGGAATGACAGGTTTTGCATTCCCTTTCCTTCTGAAGCCTTAGGAAAGCCTAGAATTCAGGTCACCTGCAGGAGCCTCGGCCTCTTCAATGCCCTGCTGAACCAGGGCGCGCCGCGTCCCCTCTGCGGAGGGATGCGGTCAGCGCAGCTTCTCTCCTGGAGTTCACCTGAACAATTAAAATCTGAAATTTTGTTCATCTGAACATAAGAAAACGAGGCAAGACTTGCCTGCTGTGAAAGCAGTCCCTTTGTGCTGCTCCGATGGCTGATGCCAGGGGTGGCTGGTAGCAGGCTCCTTGCCTCCTAGAGACAAATCCGAGAAGTTTATTTGGATTTATGCAAAATAAATTACAAGCTCTTCTGAACTGCAGCGTGGTGCCTGCTCTAACACCTGTGCCTGTGCTTCCTGCAGTGATCTGGTGGCTTGGTAGGTGGTCTCCTGTCGGTTTTCTCAAAATACCAACACTTCTCCCTGTTCCAGGTGCAGCAAGAGAGATCTCACCGATAACTTACCTGTTAGGTGCATGCCTGTGTGTTAAATAGAAGTAACTTCTCGTGCTCAGACTGCTTAAAATTAGTAACTAAGAATAATTAATTAATAATTAAGAAAGAGCAGAGCAAGCATGGGAATGTTTTACGGTGACAGAGAAGGTCCTTTATGTATACTGTTAAAAATATCTATATTTTTTTCTGAAACTTCTTGGATTTGTTTCAAATGTGGTCCAGAGTCCTGGCACTGTGGTTCAGCTTGCTATTTTGGTCATTTTAATGAACACCTGGGAAAAGGAAATAATTACAGGAAGCTGATCTTGGCTACACCTGTCATATCTTGGTGCCACTTCTACCCTGAACACGGAGCAGAAGCACAGCTCCTCTTTTGTCTGTGCTTGCCACTGCTTTGTGGAGTCTCTGCGTCAGCATCCTTATTTCTTCTCTAATTAGCCTGTCCCTAAGCTTTGTGACTTCCCCAAATGCAATAGGAAGGGAATAAATGCTGGTAGTGGATGAGTGGAGCTGTGAAGTCCCCTCTGATCAGCGACGGGTGCAGATTAAGGAAGGAGCACGGAGGGGCAGGGCTGCTACCTGCAGATAAAGCCGCAGCACCCACGGTGCCTGAGCTCAGGTAGGTGCTGTCACCGCCCTCATAGTAAAGAATTTCTGCCTCGGATCTAACCCAAACCCACCTTCTTTTACCTTAAAGCCGTCACCCCATATCCTATCCCTACACCCCCTGCCCAAGAGTCCCTCCCAGCCCTCCTGCAGCCCCTGAAGGCTCCCCGCAGCCTTCTCCTCTCCAGGCTGAGCAACCCCAACCCCTCGGCCTCTCCTCCCAGCAGAGCTGCTCCAGCCTCCGAGCATCCCCGTGGCCTCCCCTGGACTCCAGCAGCTCCACATCCCGGTGCTGGGCGCCCCACAGCCAAGGGATGTAAATCCCTAAATTCTGGGATCTGCTCAAAGCAGGCAGGGCATGTCAGCAAGTTCGTGCCACGGAGCTTTTAGGGAGCGGGCTGTGCTCGTGCCGGCTGGGCTGGCCCCAGCAGCTTTGCTTTTGGCAGTAACAGAGTTTTCTGCAGGCTCAGGGAGCAGTGCTAATAACTCCAGTGACTCTCAGGGTGATCGTTCATTCATAACTGAGAGAGCAGGTGATGAGAACAAAGAGCAAAAGGACCAAAGCAGAGCAGAAAATCAACAAAACCTTTGGTTTCCAGTTTTAGTGAATGGTGGTGCTGAGATAGCAAGGGATGAGAGAATTGTCCTGGCTTTGGCATCTTGCAGGAAATCACCGTTTTAAAAAAAAATCATTTAATGTAGAGAAGTTTTTAATCATTTTTAAATGAAAACCAAGAAGATCTTTTTCCAGATCTCCACTTTTTCAGACGCAAAGCGAGTAATTTTCCATAATAACACTTCAAGATGTCCTTTTTGCATTTCTGTCCCCAAAAAGCTTGGTATCCCGAGAAAACAGGCAACTAACCACCTGTAAGGCACAATGTAAGACTTAAGCAAGCTCGAATGGCTGCAGGGCATGGCTCTAAAATGCAGCGTGCCCAAGCTGCAGGGCTCTCCCCGCGAGGACCGGGTTAATTTTGGGGCCCCACCTGGCAGTGAGCATCGGCTGGCGCCTGCCGGCACTCACTGCCACTCCGGGGAAGGGGCTGTAAATAAGATAAATCTTCGGCTGGCTGCCTCGAGATGCTGATTAGATCCCCAAGTTGTCTCCGCTGACATAAATCAGTCAGCTTTTTACATATGTTAACCGACGGGCTCAAGAAGATTTTCTCCCTGTGCCGTAGTCTTGTTTGCCGCTCGTATCAAATCAGCTTAAGCCGTTGTGTAACGAGCTCTGTTATTTGCAGGAAAGTGGAGCATGTCAGCCCACGGGAACTTCTTTATGAAATGCTCCTCTTCCCCAGGAGCAAAGGGAACCTGCCCCGGGCACCCCCTGCGACCGAGGACCCCGGCGCCTGGCCGAGAGCGCTGCTGTGCTGGGCCGTGGCAGCGCCGTGTGCCCGGCAGAGAGAAATCCCTGAGATGAGGAAGGGAAGAGGTGGGAGCGAGCGAGGTCGTGGGATTTGCAGAAAGCCAACGAGTTTCTGTACCGAGTGTCAGCCCGGGTCCGAAGGGGACTGCTGGTGCAGGGGCAGGAGGTGCTGGGGTGCAAGCTCCAGGGAGGACGTGGAGCAGAAGGAGGGGCCCTCCTTGTTTAAAAACACCGTTGCCATGGCATTGTCTCCCTCAAATGGTATTTTCCTAGCAACCTGCTACTTCTGCTTTTCCCTTTTTGCCTTTCAACTTGGATTCAAAGGTGGACTCGGGCGTCTTGACTTAACTTGTTGAATAGAAAAGAGAAAAGCTTACAATGAAGTAATGCGTACATCAAGGAGGCTGTTAAAAGCTGTGCGG